CCCCCATCTGCCTGCCCCTCCTCTGCCTGCTCCCCATCCACCCACCCCGTGCCAGACCCTCGACGACCTGGACCAGCGGGTGAAGGAAGCTGGCCTCGAGATCACCTTCCGCCAGAGTTTCTTCTCTGACCCCGCCGCGCCTGTTCGTAACCTCAAGGTAAGCCCACCTGGACTCATGGCATGTCCCCATCCTGCAGTCCTCCCCCTGGTACCCCCAGCCATCGGGGTGCAGCCGGAGCCATGCCCTGCACCCCAAAAAGAGCACAGGTGGCCAGAGTTGGGAGCAGAGACATCCCAGGATGCCCAGCATTCAGGTCGAGGTGGGAGTCTGAACATGCATCTCCTCTGGCCAGGAGACGGGCCCATGGAAAGAGCAATGCCCTTGACCTGGCCACGCACGTGCAGTCCCCAGGTTCAAAGTCTCCTCTGTCATGGACTGTATCAGCCCTGCCATGCAAATGTAGACAAAGTGGTGCAAAAGAGGCTGGGTGGGGTGGCTCTCTGTGCACCAAGAGAAGTCAAACCCCAGGGTGACCTGTCTCCCTGCAGCGTCAGGATGCCCGTATCATTGTGGGACTCTTCTACGAGACGGAGGCACGTAAAGTCTTCTGTGAGGTGAGAGCAGAGGTGTGCGTGGTAGAAAGGGTAGAGGCTGTGCAGGCGGGCACATGGGCTGGCATGTAGGAGGATGGGAGTGTGGGTGAATTGCAGTGAGGAGGGATGGATGGACAGAGGGATGGAAGTGGGGTGATGGATGGTGGGATGGGCTGGTGGTGAGAGGTACAGGTGAGTGAATAGAATGGAGTAGGGGAGGAGGGATGGGTAAAAGTATGGATAGATATAGGATAGGATTGTTGGATTGTGGGCAGGTGGATGGTGTGAAGCGAAATGGGTGACTAGAGGCTCATGGTGAAGAGTGAAGGATGGATGGATGCCTGGCTGGATGGGGAAAAGGGCGACAGCTGAGTGAAGGGTGAATGAGGCGAAGGATGGAAGGATGGGGAGAAGGAGGGCAGCTGGATGGGATGGAAGGTGAAGGACGGATGGAGATGTTGATAGCTGGGTGGGTAGTGGGATGGCTGGAGAAGGTGGTGCGAGGAGGGAAGGCATCTGGCTGGACAAGGGGACATGGGGAGGTGAGGTGAGCAGTGGGGCTGGGTGGACAGCGCTGAAGTCTCACTCTGAGCCACCGCCTCAGTGCTGCACCTCGCCCCACACAGGTCTACAAGGAGAAGCTGTACGGCAAGAAGTACGTCTGGTTCCTAATTGGCTGGTACGCCGACAACTGGTTTCGCATCAAGGACCCGGCCATCAACTGCACCGAGGCGGAGATGGCAGAGGCCGTGGAGGGGCACGTCACCACAGAGATCGTCATGCTCAACCCCGAGAACACTCGCAGCATCTCCAACATGGTACAAGAAAGGGCGACAGCCCAATGGGGAGGTCAGCAGGGCAGCAAGGGTCCCAGGGCTCTACTCCGTCCCACCTGCCACGTGACCACCTTCTCACCCTCCCCCAGACCTCCCAGGAGTTCATTGAGAAGCTGCAGAAGCGGCTGGGCAAGAACCCTGAGGAGACAGGCGGTTTCCAGGAGGCGCCGCTAGCCTACGATGCCATCTGGGCCCTGGCCCTGGCCCTCAACAAGACCTCGGCGGAGCTGGTCAAAAAGGGGCTGCGCCTGGAGGACTTCAACTACAATAACAAGAACATCACCGACGAGATCTACCGGGCACTCAACTCCTCCGCTTTCGAGGGTGTCTCGGTGCGTTGCCTGGTCTGAGCACATCTGGCCCCAGAGCTCATGTGACCTCCCCTCCCCAATACGCACCTGGGCACCTGCACATCCCTGGCCCCACCATAGTCCCCTCTCACCAGCTAGGTTTCCCATGTCCCCATCTCCTCCACCTTCAAGGTCGTCCCCATGAGCCACCCCTAAAACTCCCAGAACACTGAAAACTGTCAAACTTTGTCCCCTGACATGTCTCTGGGCACATGGTCACACTGCCTGCTGGGACACCGGCAGCACCATGGGGTCCTGACACCCATCTCCATCCCACGACGCAGGGCCACGTTGTCTTTGACGCCAGCGGCTCCCGCATGGCCTGGACCCTCATTGAGCAGCTGCAAGGTGAGAGAGCGCAGGCAGCAGCAGCAACTGAGAGACAGCACGAGGCAACCCCCACTGAGCATCCTGCAACACCCCTTCACACACAACCACCGCAGCAACCTCAGCCCCATGCCACAGCATGTGGCAACACCCTACCGCTGGTGTGAGTGAACACAACACTTGTGACACAGGGTCACAACTGCAGGCTGCAGTATGAGACAGCTGTACAGGGCAACATCACAACAATGACATCCGGCAATACAGCACCACAACACCGCCCCAGCTCACACACAACAACATGATGGGCTCCACCCCCCCTTCCACACTGCCAGCAACAGTGAAGCTGCCTTAGAAAAGACAGCAGCAAAATAATCACAGCATCAAAGCCCCTCCAACAACCCTTACCGCACACAACAGCCGCTCCTGTGTGTGACAGAGGGAGGTTGTCTGGGTGGGAGTGTGCAGAAACACTGTAGTTTGGAGGGGTGTTGAAGGGGGGCTGTGCCTCCTTCCCTCCTGCCTGACCCACCCCTGCTCCCCATGCAGGTGGTGTCTACAAGAAGATCGGCTATTACGACAGCACGAAGGACAACCTGTCCTGGTACAACAACGACAAGTGGATTGGTGAGAGGGGCCTGGGGGCTCGGTGGTGCCTGGAGAGGGATGTTGAAGGGGTTCCTGGTGCTTGTGAGATCCCCCGAGGCTGGGGTTGGGGGGGTGGTCCTTGCCATAGGGAAGGGTTGGGGAAGGACTCTGAATTCCCCTCCATACCCCTGATTGCGCCATGGGCTCTGCAGGAGGTGCACCGCCAGCTGACTACACCAAGGTCATCACCACCTTCCGGTTCCTGTCCCAGAAGCTCTTCATCTCTGTCTCGGTGCTGGCCTCGCTGGGCATCCTGCTGGCCATCATCTGCCTGGCTTTCAACATCTACAACGGGCATGTCCGGTGAGTAAACCCATCTGCCCCGCTGCATGGCCCCACACCATCGTCCCCGGGTGTAGGGCAAGTGTTACAGCTCGTCCGCTTCATACCTGCCTGTATGCTAAAACACAACCGCAGAAGCAAAGCAGCATATGGTTATCAATACCCACAGGGGTGGAAGGGATTATTTATTCTCGCCTGCTATCTACAGAAGCCAAAAAAAATAACAAAGGTTGCTATTAATAGTTATCCTCGTTACCCAAGCGGGAGCAGCACGCTCTGTAGGAGTTTCTGGTGCTATTAAGGGTCTAACCGTAGCACGTGGTTTCCACCCTCCCTTTGCCAGGGCTTGTTATCTGTCAGTCCCATTTCTCCCCAAAGACAAACAAACAGCAACACTTCATCATTTCCTTTAAATCAGCATTCGTTATATTGCTGCATAGATGCTACCGTCAGCTTTTCCTTCTTTCTTTTCCTTTGAAGGAAAGGTGTTAACGCATCACTCCCCCTCCAGGTACATCCAGAACTCCCAGCCGTACCTGAACAACATGACGGCTGTGGGCTGCACGCTGGCACTTGCGGCTGTCTTCCCCCTGGGCTTGGACGGGTACCACATCGGGCCAGGGCTTTTCCCTTTTGTCTGCCAGGTAAGGCCAGGCAGGGCTGGTGAGGTGTAGGGGTACAGCCAGAGGGGGTACAGGTGGAGGGGTACAGCCAAGGCATACAGCCAAGGGATGGGGATGGGAACAACCAGGGATGGGTACAGCCAGAAGGGGTGCAACCAAGGGGTGCGTCCAGGTGATGGGTACATCTAGAGAAGGTACAGCCGGAGGGAGTACAGGCAGAACCATACAGGTGGAGGACAGTTGCCAGGGGGTGCAGCTAGGATTCCCCCACCCACCACATGCCCTTCACAGGCCCGGCTCTGGCTTCTCGGACTGGGGTTTAGCCTGGCATACGGCAGCATGTTCACCAAGATCTGGTGGGTCCACACTGTCTTCACCAAGAAGGAGGAGAAGAAAGAGAAGCGGAAGGTGAGGGACAACCCTGTGGGGCATTTTCGGCACATTGTGTGTGGGGGGGGGTGCTATGGGGCAATGCTGATTTGGTGACCCCCTGCCTGCCCAGACGCTGGAGCCCTGGAAGCTGTATGCCACTGTGGGGCTGCTGGTGGGGCTGGACGTGGTCACGCTGTTCATCTGGCAAATCGTGGACCCCCTGCACCGCACCATTGAGGTGAGGCACTGATGGGGGGGAGCTCGCAGCAAAGGCTCCTGCCCCCCCTTCATAGACACTCACGCTCCTTCTCCCACCCCGTCACCCCAGGAGTTCACCAAGGAGGAGCCCAAGACGGACACCGACGTCTCCATCCTGCCCCAGCTGGAGCACTGCAGCTCCACCAAGATGAACACCTGGCTTGGTGGGCACATGGGGTCCTGGGGGGGACAGAATGGAAAGGGCTGGGGGGGCACTAGCAGGTCTAGGGGCGCAGGCAGGACTTTGGAGTGCAGGCAAGGCTGGTGGGTGCAGCTAGGGTTGGGGGGCACATTGCAGGGGGCTCAGAGGAGCCCTATGGGCACACACGAGCCCACGGAGGTCCAACAGGGTCCCCCATCCCCTCTTTGACTGCTGGTCCTCTTCCCTCTAGGGATATTTTATGGCTTCAAGGGGCTGCTGCTGCTGCTGGGCATCTTCCTGGCCTATGAGACCAAGAGCGTGTCCACAGAGAAGATCAATGACCATCGGGCTGTGGGCATGGCCATCTACAACGTGGCGGTACGGTGGGGTGGCCAGCTAGAGGAGGGGTGGCCATAGCCCTGTCCCGCATCCCGTATGGTGACCCCCATAATTTCTTTGTTCCCGTAGGTCCTCTGCCTCATCACCGCACCCGTCACCATGATCCTCAGCAGCCAGCAGGATGCGGCCTTCGCCTTCGCCTCGCTCGCAGTTGTCTTCTCCTCCTACATCACCCTGGTGGTCCTTTTCGTGCCCAAGGTGCCACACAACCTGGTGGGGAAGGGGCTGGTGGGGAGTGGGTGTTTCTCTGCCTGAAAGCCGGACAGGGAACAGCCAAATGGTATCTACCAGTAGATCTGCCGGTCTCTTGACAGTCGGCAGAGGATGGCTCAGTGGGCGCATCTGGGTGTAATGTCAGGCTGTTGGCTCTGACAGGCAACTGTAAAAGTGCATCCTCCAGATGTAGGGTCAGGGTGTTGGCTCTGACAGGCAGCAGAGGAAAGCTGGGGATGTTCCTCCTCCAGGTGTAGGGTGGGGGGTGACGACTCTCACAGGTGGCAGAGGAGAATGGGGAGGGTGTAGCCTCCGGGTGTCAGGTTG